TAATAACAAATTAAAAATTTTGTTTAAATATACTAAACACAAAAACTTTGTTATACTATACCAGCGTTCAGTTTTTAACTTCTCAATCTGCACAATACTAAATCTTAAAATAATATAAATAAAGAAAAGGCATTATATATATGTATATACATACATATATGTATATATATATATATATATATATATACTTGAAGGATTCGATTACCAATGAATTATTGTGCTTATTATCTCGTTTAAAAAATTTCGCCCATTGATGAAAAAAAAATGAGCAATATCGACTTGTGGATGCGTGACGTCCTCGCAAGCTATGGAATAATTGGATTAATCATTTTATGCGTGGTGATCTGGATAATTCAGAAATGGCCAACGTTGCGAAAGGACACCTATAAAGCTCATCTTTTAGGATTCGAGATGGAATGCGCCGAACTGGCCAGTCCATACAAGGAGCATCTATTTAAAGCACTGCAAGATATTATTTCCAACGACGAAATGTTACGATCTATGGGCTCTATTCGCATTCTCGAAATTGGCGTTAAAACAGGTGTGAATCGGATTAACGTATATGCGTGCACGCGGTATATCTATCTTTTTATAGTTTGACGAATGTACGCGGCGTATTCGCGACGCCGCCCGCTGATCGGTATTCATTCAGTGTGGATTCTTATATTTGAGACCGTCTTAAGTGCAGTCTTAAAATGTCATAAAATGTCACCAATCACAAAGTCGTATTCTAGCATTTTAAGACTTGAGACAGTCTTAAAATAAGAACAGATTATGAATAATTGGTTATATGTGTAAAACCGCGAGATTCTCATTCAAAGCAGAGAGGGCCGCGCGCGGCGGTTGACACAAATGTTTGTTTATTGCGTTTAGATTGTTGCCTTTTTTATTTCCTTCTTTTAAAACATTTTACGCGTTTTATTCCATCTAAAATAAATAAAAACCTTCTTTAGTAATTTTAAGTTTTGAAGAATGAAAAATATTTTTTTTTTCATCTTCTTCTCGTGACAAACCTTTCTATAAATTATACTCTTCAAAGATACAATAAGCGTACAATTAATTTATATTGTGTGCTCCGCAATAAGGTAATATGGCGCGTAACATGAATGTGTTTACAGCTGTAACATTCTTTCACGTCTTTCTTCTATAGCACATTTTTCCTTCTATTGTACGAATTAATATCACGCGCGTTATTTGAGAAATGCTTATTTGATGTATTTGTTTGCAGGCGAAAACATACAATTCTATCCGGAGGGTACACATCTCATTGGCGTCGATTGGAACGTTAAACTAGGCGAATATCTGATTAAAGGGAATCGTTCGTGGCAATTCTCTCATGTGATTATCGAACGACTAATAACGGGTGATGGAAGTTCTTTGAAGGAAGTATTAACGGGATCTGTAGACGTGGTTGTAACAACTAGATCATTGTGTTCCGTTAAATCGGTACACTCTACCCTTCAGGAAATTCGACGGGTATTAGCTCCGGTAAGATTTCTTTAAGCAAAATTTCAAGTTATAAGCCTCTACAGCAGAATTTAATATTATATACTTAATTATAATTACAAGTGAAATGTTAAATACGATATTCTTTTGATTCATTGTGATTTTATAAATAAATTCTTATGAAGGAGAAAAAATGATTCTTACTTGAAAAAAATTACGAATATATGTAGAACATAGAATTAATATAAGAATATAGAATTCCACTACATATATTCTGTGTACTTTGTCAGAATGTATCGTAACGCCCTTTGTATTTGCACATATACGATGAAAGTTACAATCTATTAAATTTTTATAAATCGCCGTCAAATTTATAATAGCACTCAATCAAGATTGCCATGCAAGAGAGAACTTGGAAAAAAGTTAAAAATAATTACCTGTAACTCAACAATATTGCCTTAATTCTCTCCTATAAATATTTGCTGCATAGATGTAAGCTGAAATAATATATTCATTTTTTGAAGTTAACACTCGAGTTATCCTACTCTTTATAATCTAATATTTTATATCTAATATTTTCGTATATTATTCTCTAGCTTTCTCTATGCTTCCAATTCAAAATCTATGACTACGAGGTAAAAAATTGCAAAACATGTTACATTCACTTTTTTTCATTGCAAACTTTTAGGGCGGAAAATATATCTTCGTGGAACATATTCCAGAGAAGGAAGGCACTTTCATACGATGGTTACAATTAGCGTTGACACGAACCGGTATATGGCCTTCTTTATTTGGTGATTGTCGTTTAGATGTTAACTGTGTTGCGGATATAGAAAACGCTGGTTTCAAGAAAGTATCGTGGACATTTTTAGCTCTGGAAGGATATATTTCGTATTCGCTTCATTTGATTCTTTCTAGACAGCACGTATGTGGTATAGCAACGAGATAAAAAGATATAAATGTATCGACAATAAACATAAAATTTTTAATATAAACAATCTTTTGCATCAAACACACACACACACACACACACACACGTACGCATGCAAGGAAGATTTATAAGATTGTAACAACTTTCAGATTTGATATATTTTTACGCGTGGTCAATATTATTATACAAAAATAATTACTCAATAATGTAATAGAAAGAGGCTATGAGAGTTGAACGCAGTTAGTGATGCACAATAAATTCTTCAATATAAAGTGTTCAATTAAAATTCGTGAATACAATCATTAAAAACAAATATTTCAGTTTTGAGCCATCTTTATAGCGTTAAATTATAATAAAACCGCTGTTAGAACAGCCAGAGTGAGTCTTCACAAGTAATCAACAAATATAGCAACAGACAAATATTGTATTTGCGAATTATAAAAATACTAATAACTTTCTAACATTTCTCGCACACAAACCAATTTTTATATCTTATATGAAATTTATATACACAGAAATTGTAAAAAATACGCGTCTTAAAATATTCAAATATTTAAAATATCCTATATAAAAAGACTGATATCGTAAAAAGATGATATACTTTAGTACCTATCCTTAACTTTTTATATGTTGATGCAGGTCAATACATAAATTACGTCTCATTGTCAGATACATTTTAAGCACAAATAACTCTGTACATATCGTCGAGCTCCAGCGCACATATTGTTTGTATATGTATATTTATATTCAGGTATGTAGAATGGTCTGTATAAATTATATCTTTTAATTTTATAATACAATTCTTTTAATTAACATCATGTCATCTCTATATAATATTAAGACATAATTAATTCGTGATTCTTTAAAAAAAAATTAAACTTTCATGATAGAAAAAAAATTATTTCTTAATAAATAAAATAAAAAATATACTTTGTCTATACTCACTCTGTTCTCTACTCTACTTAATATTTTGAATCTACTTGTTAGTTATATAGTCCTGTGACTTGTGAAAGAGGAAGGAAAGATTGAAAAAGGAGAGGATATGTATATACTTCTATCCCCTCTCTTACTTCTCTCTCTCTCTCTCTCTCTCTCTCTAAAACAATACACTATATTCACTTTTTATTGTATTACGCTATTCATTTAATACATACGTCAAGCTTATTTTATATCCGATATCGACTTACTAATTCTCCGCATACATAGATCTATGTCTAAATCACTTTCATAAAATCACGCATTTCTTTTCTCTATGCATTTATACATTTTCTTTCTCTCACACCTATACATTTTTATACATTCTTTATACATTTTACAAACGTAATACAGTTTTAGAGTCTTGCCACATATTTTTTGAAAATTATTACATAGTTTCGCTTGAATCGGAAGAATCGTAATAACTTTTAGTTTGAAACGTTAACAATTTTTTTACCGTAGATGTAACATTAGCCTGCTGATTAACTACTAAATTCTTAGATTTGTCCGAGATTTTTTTAATTTTCGTTAAATTATCAAGATTAGTTTCTTCGAGTATTTCCAAAGTATTTGATAACGTTCCTTTTTGTATATCATTTATGAAAGAAGAGGAAGACGGATCTTTTCCTAGAGCACCATTAGATTCTTCATTAGGTAATCGATGGTTCGTTTTAACTTCTTTGTCGATTGATTTCGATCTAGTTTTTACATCGTGTGCTCTGTTATGCATTTCAGGAGAAGAATTCATTGAGCATAAATGTCTTTTGTTGCTGTACCTCTTCGCAATAGAATCATTAAAGCTTTCCTCAAAATTGGTACGATTATGATGTCGCAATCTATTGCGAGTAGAACGCTTGTTTAACACTTGTTTGTAAGTAGATGAAGTATAATTGTTGCTTTCTTCAGAAGCTGAAGAAGAGTTTGTATGCAATGTGTTTGTTTGGAAGAATATAACGTGAACATTATTTTTACGATCTATTACATTCTTTTTTACCGCTCCATTTGAACGCCTTTTACGATTACGTCGATTATTTGTATTTTTCTTCTCAAAAAACACATTTTTTTCCTTAGCTTTATCTAAATTATCAGCAACACTGCACTCGTTGTCATCCTCACTTGAGAAAAATACAAAGCCTTCATTTTTATGTATAGACTGTAAGGAGGCAGTTGCCGTCTGTGTATTACCAAAAGATTTCATCTCGACATCAACTCCATTATGTTTTCCTTTTTTCTCTTTTATCGATTCATTGTCCCTTTGTCCTACCGACGACGTTCTTTCCGACGAACAAATTATCGTACTTAAATTTCTTCTATATTCGTCTCTATCGCTAATAGTAAACCGCTTGGTCTGAGATCTACATAAATCCTTTTCAACGACCTTTTTTCGTTCGCCTAATACATTGTCATCTGGCGACACTTTTGACTTTTTTCGGGGATGTTGAATCGATCCAACAAAATCATCGTCATCTGATGATGTAAAAGTTAAAACTGAATATTTACTATGGTTATCTTGGCTTGTTTTGCTATGATTCTTATGTTGAAATGTAGAATCTGACTCTATTTTATCCTTGAAAACTTGATTTCTATGATCTACAACAATGTTAGTCAGTGTATCATTTATTTGATTATTTTTCTTGGATTTGGTATTCATTCGCAATGAATAATTGTTGTTATTCAAATTACGGATTGGTTCAACAGCTACTCCATTTTCACAAGCCAGAGTTTGAGAAATTTTCTTAATTTGAGGTTCTCGTTTATGATTAGCTTGTAGGCCTGTCCTTCGATTCTGCGAAATCTTTTTATTAGGAAAAATATTTGTATTTGTAACATCGCTGCTCTCCTTAAGATATACATTCGCAGGTAATCGCTCCAATATAACTTTAATTTCCCGCAATTTTACATTATCTTTCTCGTTTGTTCCATATGGATTAGAAGAATGCATTTTAGAATCATTTGATATCTCTTTTTCCAGCCAAATGGTATCATTTTTATTTAAATCTTGCATTTCCCTCATTGTACTATAATTTTTTACTGATAGTGGTAATCGTTCCAATACAACTTTAATCTCTCGTAGTTTCACGTTAGCCATTTCGTTTCTTCCGTGGTATAAGTGGGAATATGTTTTAGATTTATTTGATAACGCATTTTGCCAGATAGTGTTATTCTTATTCGAAACTTGGGATTTCATTGCTGTATCTGTATAATCTACCTTTAACGACGATTGTGGCTCCTTATTCTTATTCATACTGAATAAATTCTCTTTTAAATTCGATAGCTTGTCATCATTCTTTTGTGAATTCGAAGCAGAAAGGTCGTCCTCAATATTCAATTCCAAATCAAGAGAGCAGTCATTCAAAGAAGAGGCACGTTGCGATGCATTTACATTACATTGGCAAATAAGAATGGTACTTTCGTCGCTATCTATCGTTTCTAATTCCAGATTTTCAATCGTACAAGAATACAACTTTTTCGATTTATTTAAATGCCTTCGATTGTGTACGCCTTTTTCTTTCGCGATGTGTGTATTCTCGAATTTGAGTTTGCATCGATTGAGAGAAGGCTTAATCCGCTCTAAAAGTACAATTGGCTTTAGATTAAGGGACGCTAAATTTTGTGTGTCAAATTTTTCATTTTTTACAGAAATATTATTTGCGTTCCCGTTGTATTCCCGACGAAATGGAATGTCGTCTTGTCTATCCGTGGAATTATCATGGAGGCCTGATACTGAACTCTTGAGAGAGCTGTCAATAGTGGAATCTTGAACTTGCTTGCTATTCGTACACCTGTTACTAATGTCTGTAATACTTTTATTGGAAGTACAATCAAGTTCTCTTCTCTCTTTGCTCTTCTTGACTTTCTTAGAACCAAGATTCCGTTTAGCAGAAAGTAAAGGTTTATTTTTGCCTTTATGAGTTATTAAGGATGCAGATTCTCTCTGAATAGTAGTACCATTGGAATCTAAAGCAGGATGTAAACTTTGTCTTGCTCCAGATAATCTATTTGTACTATGTGTTTCGGTGAGTATTAGATCTACAGGGGAATCCCTGCCTGTGTATAATTTCTTACGATGGAAACCTGTCAAACTTGTATTTTTTGCAATAATTTCAGCCGCGATATTTTCCGATACTTGTTTCTCGCTTGCTGGAAAATCCATTTCCACCGCCTTACCTCCATCTGAATCTGAAACATCATTACTTTTATCATTCTCGATTAATCGTTTTGACGTTTTATGAAATTGCCGAAAAATGAATGCAATGTCATCTAATTTTCTTTGACTGGCATCAGACTCATTTATTTTATCCGTTTCCTCACAAGATAAACTCTGCGAATACATATTCGATTGTTTTGCGTTAGCAGATACTAAGGTGCTAGTGGCTGCTGCTGGTCTATCATATATTTCTGATGACATTGGATACAATTCAGTATCTAAAACTTCAACATCAACCTCAACATCGTCATCGTCATTGTGTGTCATTGCACGATTAATTCTTGTAGTTTCCATATATTCAATCATATCGTTAGATGTTGGAACTCGTATATCCTCTTTCAGGGATTTAACCTCCATGCATTTTGCACCTTCTATAATAGCTATAGTATCTGCTTTCTTTGTGATATTTGCATTTGATAAAATGTAAGCAGCAGTATCTACAGAACTGCAAGACGAGTCATTTCCTTCACATTTTTGCTTACCACCTGTATTTACTGTATTTACTGCATTTATGACTGGAGACACCAATGGAGATGTAATTTCTTTCTCGCTCAAAGATGAACCAGTTTCAGACAATTCATTGTCATCTAGAAGCGCTTTATAAGGTGGATTACCAGTATCTATCCAGTACTGTACTAAAGTCGCTGGTTTACGCATAGGTATTCGCTGTCCACAACTATACTCTTCCTCGCTAATTACTTTTTTCTCTTCTTTTTTTTCTTCTCCTCCTCCTCCTCCTCCTTCTTCTTCTTCTTCTTCTTCAGGTTCTAAAGTCTCAACATTTAACTCTATATCATCAGACATCTGAAAATTAAGTATGAATTTTGTGCAGCGAGTAGACAAGTAGTAATTTTCAAACGTGAATTTAATAAAGAAAACAAATACCTCCTTGGAATATCTATCGAATAAATTGTCCCAAGTTCTCTCCCGAATTTCCAAAATTTCTTTTGGTATTTGAAAATTATTGTCTTTGGTTCCCGTAATCCTACGAGTTCAAAAATATTTATTAGAAATAATTATAAAAGATGTAGACATTATGCAGGTATACATTAATTTACCTTTCGATACCTTGGGTATAAGACTGCGAAAGGAAGTCATTATTAATATTTTCACTCACTATGCAATTTTCCATAAGTTGTTTTACGACACCGCGTCGCAACGTTAAGTAAAATACCTATATGATTTATAAACAAAGTCATAACTATAAACTTAACATGTAAGGGCCATTAGAGCCACAGCCATGGAACTATGGAATGCTATGGAAGAACATCGAACGCGAACGCAACACATAGAACGGAATGGAGCCAATGCTGGTCAATGGTAGACTGCCATTTGATTGGCAATCAATGGCGGTCAATGGAGAGCGGAAGCAGTAAGTTTAGGCTAGAGTCCTAGATTATCAGAGAAGCGCGACCGATGTTACGAGTCCTGATTGGACTCGCAAATGGCCAATCATAAGATTGATTTATCGCTATTATAAATGTCTGCCGAATAAATCAATCTTATGATTGGTCATTCGACGCCAT